AGCGAAACTAAACTCACTCGTACCAAAACCCCAAAACCCCAAAACCCCAAAACCCCAAAACCCCGCTTGGAGAAATTTAAGTTGAACGCAAATATGAAAGCTTTTATCCTAACTTCATCTGCATGCTGAGGCCTCCTGCTGAAGCTGTGGCTGTGCCATCAGTTGCTGATGCGCTAAGGGTAGCAGTTCCTCCCATTGGTGGTGGAGCTCCGACTGGAGCTGGGGCTGGAGCACTAGTGGTTTGGTAGGTAGTAGTAGTTGGTGCAGTCATATGGGTTGTGTGTGTAGTAGTAACTGGGATTCCTTGGAGAGATTTTATAATGGCGTCGAAAGTCTGATTCTGAAGAGTCTGCTGAGTCTTAAAAGCTTCAAATTCTGCCTTCAAAATTGCATAGTTGGTCTCCAGCTGCGCAACTCTGGCTTCAAGAGGTGTGTTGGAAGTGACTCCAACAACTGGTGTTGGTCCAGTTATTGTAGCAGAAACTAATGGAACTTGCTGAGTTGTTGTGGTAGTGACTACAATGCCAAATTCTTGTCTGATTTCTTCATACTTATCAAACCCTTTAAGGAGCATTTCAAGTTTCTTGAACTGTCTCTCTTTCTCATTGTCAATTCTCTCAAGCTCCATGAGCTCGTCGTTATATCTATAATCAATATAAGGGTCAGAACAGGATACAAAAGTATTAGGTTTTCCCCAGAAAGTTAAAGGTAGAGGTAAAAGCTCTCTCGACTGAGTTTTTAATAAGTACTTGAAGCTAATTTACAAAGGATTTCCTAACTTCAAAATATAATTCTTCCAAATACAGCTTTAATAACATTTGGTTGGTTATTGAAAAAGTTGATGGTTTATGGTACTAAGTACTACAAGACACTAACCCATCTCTTTCCAAAGATTGATAGAGGAAACACTCCAAAATCTGACAAGATCCTATTAACAGATTCTGAAACATTCTCTTTAACTTTGGTAGAATTGAAAATTTTGGATACATGCAATTAGTTCTGGAGTTGTCAAAAATTAAAGGATTCTTAAAAATCTCTAACTTAAGAAATAGGATATCGATCAGAAAACTTATTTTAGCAATTTTTGAGAGATTAGAATCCAACTCAATTTGAAGGTTCATATCAGAAATTAGTTGATTTTAAGATATCGACCAATCTCTAAATAAAAGATCCAAAAACATAACTGATAGATATCCTTCTGAAAGACTTACTGCATGACTTTTCCGAAATCAAAGCTCATCACTGCAGCAGTGATCTTCTCAAAGACTGCTTGGCCCTTGGCCATATCTTCTGAAGTCATTTTGGCTCCTTCAGAAGCTTCTCTCATTGCAGCTACCTATACATAATATGTCATGGATGCTTTGGATAAAAAAGCGAGAAAAGGGTGATAAGGAGAGCTTCCAAGAAATCAAAGAGGCTTACATTTTCTCCTTTAAGCTCAAGGACATCAATAAGAGCGATGTAGGTAGGCAGCTTTGCCTCTCTGTGCTTGAACCTATCTTGCATTTCCTTGCTCTTCTGTCCTGGATCACCTTGTCCTCCTGACGAAGTTGAAGTAGTTTGTTGGGTGGTGGTAGTCATGTTGACATTCATACCTGGGGCACCTGGGGGTGGTCCTCCGAAACCTCCGAATCCTCCGAACATTATTAATTGACGAAAATTTATTTAAGATAAAGATCCTTGTCTCCAACCAATAAGTATTAGTTGGGGTTTTGGGGTTTTGGGGTTTTGGGGTTTTGGGG